TTGAAGAATTAGAGGCAAAGTTTGCAATAAGAAAGCAGCTCTAATGCACAGTAGCTATTACTGTTCCTGTTTGTAGGCTAAAGTGATGACTGGAAGAGCTAAGGGAGAACTTGAAAGGGATCATCCGAGCATCTGTCCTGGGGCCTGAGGATGTCACAGGGAGGCCTTGAGCTGGGGGATATGTTCCAGCTGCAGCTGGCTTCCTCCGGCTGAGGCTATTTTAGGCTACAGTAAGCAAGGAAAAGGGTCCTTAGAGAGCAGGCCTCAGTCCAGCTCTGCTGGCACCTGCTTGGACCACACGCAGAGACCGTGTCTGCTTGACGAAGACAGATGTACAGGCGCCAGGCCCTGACTAAGCCTGGACACCAGGTCTGACTAGGAAGGGCTGAAGGAGCTGAGGCAGTTTGGCACAGTTTGGGTGGGACATGACTGTCTTGACAGTGAATAGCCAGAAAGGATTGGACCCCAATAGGGATTGTGTGAGCCAGGAGCTCTGGACAGATCTCTGCAGCTCCTACAAGGCAGGGGTTTCTGTCTGCCCTCCCAGGCCCCCAGACCCTGTCAGCCCTTGGCAGACAGGCAGCCCCAGGCAGCCCATGCTGGTGCCAGCTCAGGTTGCCCCTGCACCTCTGTCTGGCTGCAGGTGTGAGAGGTGCTCTGTATTTGCAGCAGCAGCAGGTGTCAGTGGAGAGGAACTGAGCCCCAGTCTCTCTTCTGAGACACAAAGGGCCACTAAGGCACGCTGCAGAGAAACAGCCATGTTAGTGGCCATGCTGGGACCAGATTCCCTGGCTCTCAGCTTCCAGTTAAGACTTGTCAGCCTTGAGACCTACTCAGTATGGACACTGCCAGGCTGTTCCCGCAGGGCCTGGCTGTCACCACCAAAGCTTGGGTGGCCTCAGCAGCAAGGCTGCCCTGGCTGGAACCAAGGCCTGGCACCTGAGGCTTGCTCCCTCCCCATATTGGTCCCTGACTGTAAGAAAACTAAGCAAGCAATGCTTTCATTCTTAAAGTTAAAAAAAAAAAAATGCTGCTTAAACTTGTATGCATATTTCCCTTTAAAAAATCAGCATTTATAAATGAAGTTCACTAGCCTGCACTCCTGGTTCTCTCCCTGAGAGTGTGTGTACAGGACACTGTCACTGCCTAGTGACACAGCTACTGGAGGTGTTTTTTGTGCTTGCTATTTCCACTTCACATTTTTGTGGGCTGCCATACTAGCAAAGACAGATGTAGTTCCATCCCATAAGCTGTCCTGGAGTGTTCTGCCATGCTATTGCTTTTGCTTTACCTCCCTGTCCCTTCTGCTGCCAGCAGCCTGTGGGTTATTTCTGCCTTGGTGCGGTCCATGGTTGCTGCCCTGGGTACCTGTGCCTGTCTACATCACAAGCTTGGAGGTGAAGGTATTGGCAGGCAGAGTTCCTGCAGTTTCCGATAATCTACTTGTCCTCCAACACAGTGGCACCCATGGATGCTCCAATTTGCAGCCAAGGAGTCAAACTTCTCCCCAATATCATGACACTTTGCTAGTCACTAAGGGCCCTGCCAATTCCCTCTTCTTGCTCAGATTTTGGATTAACTCTTCAAGGTGGGGTGGTGGGGGAAGGGGTAACAAGTGAAAGGAAAACCCCTCTTCCAACTTTCTAGGCTAAGCCCATGTAGCGCTGGCAACTCCACGCAAGTGCCTAAGCAATGAGCTGTGGCTGCCAGGGGCAGTGTTGGGGAAGCCCTTTGCTCAAAACACAAAACCTTGCTGGGTTGAAGGGCAGTGTTCTGCCACCTCATCTCAAGTAGCTCATGTCTCCTGCTGCTCTTTTTTCCCAGGACCCCTGTGCCATTTGGAGGACCCCTGGTGGGGGAAGCCATCCCCAGGGCAGGCACCCCTTTCGTTCCAGAGCCCTTCAATGGCTTGGAGCTTCTCCGCCTCAGACCCAGCTTCAACCGAGTGGCTCAGGGCTGGGTGCGCAACCTCCCGGAGTCTGAGGAGCTGTAGCCCCAGCCTGGAGCTTCCATGGCCCCGGGCATGGGCACTGGGTAACCTATGGCACTAAGGTTTGCAGATGGTACATAGCGATTTATGGAGAACCTGCACCTGTAAAACCTGATCGCACAAGGCCTTGCAGGCCCCAGATGTAGCTATGCTTCAAAATTTCTTGGGGACATCAGTCCTAATCCAGATTTCTGCCCTGCCCCAGCCTCGCAGCTTCAGCCTCCCCTGAATGGGGGCAGCTGTTAGTGACCAGTGCTCCAGTGTGACACGTGGGTTCCTGGGTTGTGTCATTAGCAAGTCCCAGCCACACCTCGGCCCCGCCCTTCTACAGCAGCTCACTTCCCCCCCACCGACAGGATAGTTCCCTCAACCTGTGCATACTTCTGAAGATCAGTAAGTCTTCCCTTTCACAGAGGCAGTTGCTTTTTCCTCTGAACATTATGTACCTACTGTGTGTAAGATGATCTGCGGACTCCAGGCTTCAAGAAGGAAAAGAAACTAGCAGAGACAGATTAACGGCAATATATCATCTTAACTGTCCCTAAAACATACTGACAACATCCAAAGGACCAAGTGTTAATGGGGCAGAGGCAAAGTATAAGGGTTTGAGGTGGCAAGTTTCCCAGAGGACTGGTGTGGGACCTTGGAGGCAGAGTGGAAGTCCACCAAGGAAAGAGAGAGGGTGTGATGGGGAGGGCACTCCTGGCAAACAGACCAGCAGGTTCCAAAGTGTGGAGCTGAGTGCAGGTGCAGGGGTTGTGGAGAAAGGAAGGCCCTTAGAGGAGTTGCTGAGGGCCAGGGTGGGCTAGATTGTTCTAAGTAACTGGGGAAGTTTTCGTGATGGCCCCATGGGTTGCTATGTAGGGTATAAGCTGGAGAATGCTTAAGCTAGAAAGTGTGCAAGGGATGAGGTCATGGGGATGGTAAGGGGACCCTGCTGGACACCTTACAGGACAGTGCAGACTTCTGAACACTTCTATCTGCCATGCTCAGCAGGCCCTTTAGTTTCAGTGAAGATGGTGGTGGTGGTGATGACAGAGGGGAAGAGATGAAGATGATGACAACAAGGGCTGTGTACCAAGTGCCTCGGCACCTGGGCTGATAGTGGGTTCTGTATATATGCTATATCTAATTCTCAGCACAGCCCTGAGGGAAAGGTGGGACTGTCCCACTTGTAAAGATGCGGCTATACAGGCTCAAAAGAAAGGAACGACCTGTCCAGGGATAGAGTTAGAATGGGACTCCCTGATTCTTGTGTCCACCGCACTGTGGGGTGAGTGGGGGCTAAGCCAGGGCCGTGCATTGTGGAATCACCTGAACGTAGCGTAGTGCCTGCCCTCATGCGGGAAGCTGAGGGTGCAGGCTGCAGAGCCAGACTGGGTGGATGGTGCCTACTGCCACTATGAAGGGTTTGAACTAGAGCAGGCACTGCTCCTACCTCTTGCCTGACTCTTCTCTGGAGAGATGAAAGGTCTGGGAGTCCAACAGTTATGTAGGCTGGGTGGGGCAGTGGTTGATGCATTTTCCTTTAGTTGTAGCACTACACTCTCCTTCTGGGTTTCTAAGCCCAGCAGGCTAACTCTTAGCATGGCTAATGTTCTCTCCTGAATTTATGAGCTGCCACGTAAAGCCAGCTTTTTATGAGCAGGCAGTCAACTATTCCAGGTCTTACAAACAGAAGGGAAGCGAGGACTTGGGTTGCCCTGGTTGGTTCTACAGTGTTCCGGGAGGTAACTGCCTTGCCAGGTATAGAAGAGAGTCGGAGAGTAAGATTGCTGCACCCCAAAGTGGATCCTCATCTTTGCTTCTTCTGATACTGTGACTTCTGCTGTTGCTGGAGAAAAAAAGAATGCTTATTTAAAAAATAAAAAGTAATAAATGCCAAGTAGAATGTGAAGGTTATGCCCACGTACACACACACACACACACACCTTTCACTCTCCTGCATCCGCCTGGTCCTGCACAGCAGGGATAACCACTGGAAGCAGCATGGTCTTTTCCTTCACATAAAGCCCAACTTTTAAGGCCTTTTTTATTCTTTATATATAAATATAAAATCACAGGAATGAAGAAATGAAAAGACCAAAGAGAGTTACAAAGTTGAGAAACCTGCGGTCAGACAAGGCAACAGGGAACAAGAATGAGTTACAGATTCAAGCAACAACTCTCAGACACCCGGTATAAGCAAAGGAAAGCAAAGAAACACGCCCACATTTCCTGAGGCAAGGAAATGCTGACAATAAAAGCCAGAACAGTGGTAATTTGGGGAGATGGGAATGGTTTCTAAGTGTGAAGGGATGCATTCAATTTTTCCTAGGAAAATTAGAAGACTTATTTCTACACCTGGGTACTTGTTAATAATGTTCAAGTTAGACATATATGAGCTTTATGACATTTCCTGCATGCATTTAAGTTTACCAAAATAATCACTTCTTTTTAAACAATCATAATGAAAAGATTAATGTTAGATCTACCCAAAGAGAGAACTACTAAACTAGAAGTGCCCGTTACACATCATAGGGAAAAAGATGGCAGACCTGAGCAGTGTTAAAGGTGAGTAAAAGAATAAAAGTGGCCCAGGAACCCGGAACCCAGAGCTTCTTCCAGGCTTCTCTTGAGCGTAGCAGCAGCCCAACAGGCCATCTTCTGCTGCCCTCCTAGGCACATTAGTGGAGAGCAGGACCGGAAGTGGGTCAACCAGGACTCAAACTGGCCCCTTTATGGGATGCTGGCAGAGCAGGCAGTGGGCTTTACCCATTACATCAAAATGCTGACCCCACTTGTTTCCTTTCACAAATTACTAGTGTTTATCACCTCTGACAAGCACTACAAAGGCCCGGGTCTTCCTACTACCAAGGGAATGGACAACGAAGGGAAAAGCACAACAGTCTAAAGCACAATTTAAAAAATTCACACATTCATGTACAATTTGTTTCTAAGTCTCACTGACCTCAACTTCAGCTACCGAAGGACAAGGAAAACAGCAGTGCAGAAATAAGCCACCAGAGTATTTGGAAAAGTGACCCGTTTTAATTATTTAGAAACAACCCCCCACACAAAATAACACCATATTTCCCTTACCGTTTACAGTTCAGATCTATCCAGACATTCTAAGAGCAAATAGTCCCCTGCCCTGAGGAGGGGACCACCACACGACGCTGAAGACACACGCAGGTCAATGTGGAGGGGCAGTTCCAGCTGTAGGCCGCCAAGTCTTCCTTTTAGAAACAGTCCCAGGCCCTCCAATTTGAGGAAACAAAGTGTTTTACAGGAAGTTCTGTAAAATAGTTTTGTCCCAGACACCAGGTTTCTTCAATAACATACAGCTTCGTGAAATCTGTTTCCATCTGATTGATAGGAATAAAAAGTAATTTTTGCTTTTGTCTTTTTTTCACTGGCATAGGTAAATAAAATTATCCATCAAATTCCTTTAGCAATAAATGAAGTTTCCAAAGGAGAGGAAAGAAAGGCTCTGTGCTGTGCTGGGTACTGGCTTCCACTCGACTTTCTGAGGGTGCGACTTCAGAGTTCAGTCACACTCATGACACTACAGTGATTAGTACTGGTCATCTTTCTTTTTAGATGATGAAAAGGAAAATATCCAAAGGACATAAAAAATGGTCAAAAGGTTTCCTTACTACCAGTCCAACCCCTCCCCCACCCCTGAAATACAAAACAAACCTATTATTAGAGTAGTAACTCTGTCAAACATTCCAATTTACCTATGCGCTCATCCCCTGTGCAGGCCAGGGCAGCAGACATTAGGTTGTTTTAGTAATGTTATAATAGTAACCAGATGTGCTCATGGCAGCTTATTTCAGTATTTCAAGTCCACTGAGCCTCTGAATATGCGTAGGAAAGCATGGCTGCCATTTTCCAATTGCCCACATCTGAACACATTCAGCTACCATGGAAACTACTTAAGGAAGGAAAATATATTTATTCCAAGATTCATTTACTGGGATTTGTAAGCGCCCTTTCCACAGTGTTGAGAATGTGCTAGGGGCTGCTGTGTTTGCCGGCATGAGCACCCATCCTTTGGGGGTCCTGGGAAGGATAGTGGATTGGTCCTGGGGCCCTCATGAAAGGAGGGGGCGGTCCCATTGGGTGGAACATGTGTGGTCCAAAACCTGCAGATGGGAAAGAAAACATCTGTTAAGTTTGCAGTTGCCTTGACAACCTATTCAGACTCTGCATCTTTCCAAGATCAAAGCCACCTACACACCAATCGAGACTGATATGATAATTTGGATCAAGTCGCAAGATGTGCTTAGAAATATCCACTTGTGGGCCCGGCGGCGTGGTCTAGTGGCTAAAGTCCTCGCCTTGAACGCACTGGGATCCCATATGGGCGCCGGTTCTAATCCCAGCAGCTCCACTTCCCATCCAGTTCCCTGCTTATGGCCTGGAAAGCAGTTGAGGACGGCCCAATGCTTTGGGACCCTGCACCTGCATGGGAGACCTGGAAGAGGTTTCTGGTTCCCGGCTTCGAATCAGCGCAACACCGGCCATTGGGGAGTGAATCATCGGACGGAAGATCTTCCTCTCTGTCTTTCCTCCTCTCTGTATATCTGACTTTGTCATAAAAACATATAAATCTTAAAAAAAAAGGAAAAGAAATATCCACTTGTACTCTTGCTTTACATCAGTCTAGAAAATTCACAGGACTCAGTGTATCTGTTAGGATGTCACCAGAAACTCTGAAATGTCTCAAACCTGCCCAATCCTACCAGTCAGGATTCAGCAGGAATGGGGAGACTGTCATCCTTGCCCTCAATGCTTGGCACCAGAATGGAGGGTATCCAGAAACCAGATCATCTTCACAAGGCACAGGCTCCTCTGACACAGCACAGGCTGCCCCAATGTCACCCAGAGCACCACTATACATGAAGTACAGGTCCTCCAATCGTTTACTGCTGGCCACCACCCAGAAAAGCTTGGGCCAAAATGTAACGTTATTACATGACTGAGCACACTGTTTACTCTTGACAGCTTTTTTTGGGTCACAGGAGTTTCTCAATGAAGAAGTGCTTCACTGACGTACATCCTGGCACCTACTCCTTATCTTGCTGCAGACAGGCAATAAACACTCTGTGTAATGGCACTGCCCGCAGTCCACACTCTGGACAGCAGGCTCACTCTGTGGCACTGGGCAGGCTTCAGTTTTGAACAGGGAACAAACTGGTGCAGGTCACTGCTCCAACTCAAAAAATGCTACTCTAACACCTATACAGAACACTCACACCTTTCATTGTCTCACTAGACCAGGGATTGCTTGGGGGAAGTCAGGGAAGAGGATACAATTCAGGAATTCCAGAAGAACAGGTTTTTCTCAGAGACTTGCAGGGCAAATCACAAGATTTGCTGAGTTCAACATTATGGTGAGGTGGCAGCCAGGCCTCTCCCAAGAACCTCTCTGGGCTAACCAGGAGTATGGGGGTTACCTGGGGGTGGTGGTGGGGCGATGCCAGGCGGTGGTGGCAGCGCAATGTTTACCACAGCTGGAGGACCACTTGGGGGCAGGTTGAAGTAATTGGCAGAGGCTTCCTCTTCTGCTGCAGGAGGAGGAGGAAGAGCTAGAAGAGAGACAAATGCCAGCATTCAGAAGACAGTTCTGCAACACTGCCTCTACCACCTTTAAGTCCCTGAGACCCTGCAGGGACAAGACAGCCGTCCTAAGAGCCAGGCCTGGGTCACTTCCAACAGAGGCACCAAAGGGCAGATAGAGCTGATGTCAGCGGGGAGCCAGCATTCACCTCCAGGCAGTCCTGGTACAGGTTCCAGCTTGATCCCAGACTCTGTGGTTCCATCTTTCTCCTTTTCTTTTCCTCTTGCTGCTTGCGATCTGTAGACACACGAACAGGGGCACACAGGATATCAGTAGTTGTTCTACTGGCTAGAGCAGAATGGCAGATTTTGAGGCCAGAAAGGCCTACATGCAAAACCTGCTAGAACTATGGACCAGCAGAGGCAACATGTGTTTGACAGATGTGTGGCAGGTAGACAACTTTCCAGAAAAAGAAGTGTTACTGCTAGTAGTCTTCCCCGTGGTTCCAAGCTAGAAACTTAGAACTTAAATTCAGGGCATTTCACCTGTATCTCTTAAGCAGTCATTATGTTCAAACTCAAAATAGTTTTCTAGGTCTCATTCATTCAAATTCACTTTTGTGCTCTGGCATAGGTGCCCACAAAAAAACTACAACTTCAAAAGAGCAGATTACACCAAAACCCTTCACCTGTGCCCACTTTGGCAGCACATATACTAAAAATTAGAATGATACAAAACCCTTCACAGCAATATACTCCCTCCATCTCTAAGAACCAACTGTCACGTAGCCAGAGAATGATCTTCTTAAAGATCCTTCCTACTGATTAAAAACTGGTATGCCAAAGAGGAACATTATATGGTCTCTCCAGATGATGATACCCATTTCCTGAACATTCTCAATAAAGACATTTTTAAAGTGTCTTACCTTCCCCACTTGACATTGAGCCTGCGACCATTGACAATCAGTTTATTAAAGGACTTCTCCGCAGCCACTTCTGCAGCTTGCCGTGTAGCGAACTGGATGAAGGCACACTGCTGTCTCTGCACAACAGTGATGGTCCGGATCTCTCCGAACTGGTAGAAGTGATTTCTGTGAGGAGACGGTAGGAAAACAAAACGGGAGTTAACAACACAAGATGGAAACAAACTTTTTCACTCAGTTTTCACCAGGCAGATTGCCTCTGGTTAACTGCATGTATTCCTCCCATATTTACTGAGAAATGGAAAGAAAAACAGTAATTGGGGTACTTATAAGTCAGAGCTTCTCCCACAGAGGAAACAGGGGTTCCAACAGTCTCCTCACAGACCCTAAGCCCTGAACTCCAGATAAAGGGTTGGCATAGAACGCAAAATAAGAGCATACTGTAATAGCTGTAAGAAAAAAACAAGAAAAATATGGCAGAGAATCTACTGCCCATGATGCCTGCCACAGTAACCTTGTGGCCTTTCCCAGGGCAAGGTGGCCGACCCCCAGCCCCTAGGCTTGTCTAGCTCACTTTGATAGGAGCTGATGCAGACAGGTCACCAGTAGGTTAACTAACAGGAGGCTCTTCTCCACTTTGCCTTTTTGAAAGAGGTAATTTCTATTACCATTTGCCCAAAAGTCTCAAATAGCAAACCACAAACATAAGCCAAAAATAAGACAGATATATCAAACACCAGCCTCTCAAAAGCCAACAGTTTAAACTACGAGGTTCTCCCTCCCCTATGTGACTAGCCCTGTATGGATCCGTTCCATGCTTAAAAAATTCTCATCCGCCAATGGGTCAGATGAAATCCTGCACTAATTATTTTCAAATAAAATCCCGTGTAAATATTTTCATGATTCTCCAAGGACGGAGAGGAACAGTACTCCGGCTCATAAAGGACAATTGTATAGAACTTCTCGTCTGCATAATGCTAACCACAGAGCAACTGAGGAAAAGTATACTTCATACAGGCTTAATGTGCTTGCCTCTGTCTGCAAATAAATAATCCCAGGGCAGTTACAAGCCAAAAAGAATTTGTAAAATTCTATACACACACAAACCTTAGATCTGTCTCAGTAATGGTATCACCTAGACCACCCACATAGAGGGTGGTGATGGTCTTGTCCTCCGGGGGATCCAGGCGGGGCATGGTTGAAGCTCGCTTGAGGAGCTTATCTGCTACAGGATCATTGATTCCGTAATATCGGTCTTTAATATTTTGATCAGCAAGGGGATCATCTGGATCTGTAGGTTTCTCATGCCTATGATTCAAGAAACAACAATATATCAGGATGAAAAAGGGGAGAAAAATGTGAGCACCACCTGTGACAGTGGCTACACACTCAAGTCCTAAACACATAATACCTTCTGAATTAGAAACTGTGGTTATATCAAAACATATTGATCAAAACAGAGGTAAAAGAGATTTGCTGTATGACATTTCCTAAAAGCCATTAAATGCCCACTTAGGGTGTGAGATTTTCCTTAAAAAGGAATGTTTCTACCACGAGCCAGCCCAAAACAAAAAATTCTTAACATACTTAAGGTTGGGCCAGTGGCGTGGCCTAGCGGCTAAAGTCCTCGCCATGAATGCGCCGGGATACCATAGGGGCGCTGGTTCTAATCCCGGCAGCTCCACTTCACATTCAGCTCCCTGCTTGTGGCCTGGGAAAGTAGTCAAGGATGGCTCAAAGCTTTGGGACCCTGCACCCCTGTGGGATATCCGGAAGAAGTTCCTGGATCCTGGCTTCGGATCGGCATAACATCGGCCGTTGTGCTCACTTGGGGAGTGAATCATCAGATGGAAGATCTTCCTCTCTGTCTCTCCTCCTCTCTGTATGTCTGCCTTTCCAAATAAAAATAAATAAATCTTAAAAAAAAAAAAGAATATTAATAAGTTTTTGTGAGATGAAGGCTTACCAGCTTGGCAGTTTCAGCTGAAATATACCTACATATCTTTTCTAAATCTGGTCATTTGAACTTCAACAATATGCTGGAATTGGACCCTTGACAGTGAGGTCTTACTTGCCAGGCAGAGACCTTTAGGGCTAGCATCTATGGTATACAGCCTAGCAAAGTAATTTCCCCAAGCTTACTCTGAAGTAAAATCTACCATTTAGTCAAGCCCCTTTACATTTAACAATTTTAAGACATGAGATACGCCATCTTAATTGTATGAGCTTTATGCTTTAAAGCAAACACAGTTTGAAGCTAGCGTCTCCCACTTTTTAGATGGTCAATCTTGTGTAAACCAACTGAAAACACAGCCCGGCTCTTGCCTGTAGGGACATTCCTCTCCTCTTTTACATTCTCCTTTCACCCAGAAGGAACAGATGTGGGGTCGATTCCTTTTGTAATAAGGGGTGGTCCGGGCCAGCTTGAGCAGCATGTCACTGGTGGAGGTGGCTTTCCCCAGCATGCCAACAGGTCGTGTCCCATCAGAGTTAGAAATCTAGACAGGAAAGACACATTTATACAATGAGTCACCTCAGTAGCATTTTTTTTTTAATCAAATATACAGCTACATCGAGAAAGCGGCAGCATACTTCTCTCTCCATATTCTGCGTGTAGTATTCTTTGTTGACATCAGACTTTGGCATGTCATCTTTAAAAGACAGTCCTGCATCACGAACCTGGATGGGCAGGCCTGGTACAAAATAAAGAAGGAAGCAGATTCTTTAGCTATATTTAGAAAACAAAAGCAAAGCAACCATAAAGCGAAACAAAACAAACCTTAAACCCACAAAACACAATACCATCTTTCCCTTTACCTTCCTATTTCCAAACACTTAATTTTTATTCAAACCCTCAGCACAGAATTCTAAGAAAATGTGTAATTTCCAAAGTTGTCATAAAATTTGATGAAGTGGATATTTCAGAAAATCATTTAGTCACATGTGATCTGTCAATTAATAACGCGCCTAGCTGTTGTGACAGCATGGTTTGTTGAAAAGCAACACGGGGAGTGCTTTACTTTCTTTCAGGCTGCCCAACAGATCCTCCAGAGGCAGGATTCCATGAGGGTCCCTGCATTCCAGGACCACAGTACTTCCTTTACAAATACTGGCAGAGCAGCATTCTGAACTTAAACACACATACAGCCATTCATTTTATTTTACCATTATAGAATCCCCTATTGATAAATCACACCACCCCCCCAACAATGGCACCTATAGTAAAAAAAAAAAAAGGAAAAAAGGCATCTATTCTCAAACTCTCAAACAGCAGCAATAGAATATACTAGAACTAACAACACAATTGAGCAGAATGTCTAAGGCACTTAGCCTATGAACTTCTAGCTGGGACTATGGGGAAAAAGCTTTGCATTCAGGAAGGTAAATTGATCCTACACCTGGATCAATGCCTTTTACTTCACTTTGGCTATAGAGATGGAGTTACAGGCCAGTTATGATTAATTTCCAACTGTTCCTTGAAGGATTCTAGAATGGCCTGATTGTGCTTCTCTCTTCGGGGAAGGCAGATCACATGAGACACTCCAAACTGGGATCAGAAGCAGACGGGGAGAAGTAGGCGACCAGAAGCTCAGCTTGCTTAGCACCCCTGCACAGGCTAAGAGCTGCCCTGGTGGACAGGGCCAACCTACCATACTCAAGGTCTAGGAGGCAGGTCTGACAGACATTCTTCAGCTTACTGCAGGTCTGGCACACCTCAGTCTTCTTGAAACGCATGCGGACCCCAGGGCACCAGCGAAACACTGTGAAGGGCCTGGCACAGATCTAGAACACAAGGGGAGCCACAGCATGGACTGATAACCAATGCATGAATTTAAGAAAGAGCCAATAAATTTAGCATTTAAAAGATACTGTAGCAGTCATCTCAGCTAAATGCCATCCACTATTTCACTCCAGTTTACAGCAGTTTCCCATATAATTAAGAACAGAAACAAAAATCTTTTGCAACACAGGGACAAAACATTCAAAAACTCTAAGTCCCCTCTACCTTAGACGTATTACTGACAATCTAAACTTTAAACTTTTGGGAGAGAGAAGGAGCAGGGATCATACAACCCTCTGAGAATCCTGCAGCACCTATAATTTCCTCCTTAGCCAAGACACTCCTGGCACATGGTTAGCCAACACTTGATAAACTGCTACTTGTCAACAAATACAAAAATGATGTATGAAAGTTATATAGCACTGAATTTTACTAGAGAACCTAAAGGCTTAATAAATGGCTAATTTGATATAGAAAAAGAAACAACTATGATGAAATCATTATTCTTTGACATACTTACTTTGCATTCCTTCCCATACTTTTCTTTGGTCTGAAACAGAAAAAACAGAGACACAATTATGAAAGAAAAAAAAAGATATCTACTCTTCCTGAATACAACCAAAAGAGTATCCTGAGATTTCTACCATCCCACAGAAGGAAAAAACAAATAACTTTTATTGGGAGATAGCAAGGTTGGGATATGGCTTGATGATGATGCACCAGGCATAATTTCTCAAGAGTCTCTGGATGTGTTGGCAGGTAAGTGGGTGCCTTTCCACCTCCCAAATGCTTCGGCTTATTTTGCTCTCAAGTTTGCCTCTAAGAACTCAAGTTCTTAACAGTCTTCACAGTCCGCCAATATAGGGAGGAAGCCTACCCAAGCCAGCCCGCTTCACAAAGGTCAGAATGTAACTTCTACAGCCCCACCTGGGGCTGCTGCCTGCACACAGCAGCTCTTCTATTCCTCCAAGAAGAGAGTATACGCTCCTCCAACATCTTCAAAGTACCACTAGGTAACTATCTCTGAAACTGACCACAGTCGAGCTACCCTAACCTAGTCACTTGTTAACTGTGGCTAAATCAACTCTTGCAGGCTACAGGGCACATGCCAGAACAGAATCCAAGGGGAGCTGGGTCAAAAAGCACTGAACCACGAGTCAGATAAACCTAGTTTCTAGCCCTGGTTCTCCTCCCAACTTGCTAGGGTTCCTGGAGGTGCTCCTGAAGCGCCACTTCTCCAGGATACACGAACACATGCCCATTCCTGGCTGCTGGCTGGAAGATCCACTTCCTGGGGCAATGCTAGACACACGTCCGCTATTCCTGAGACTCGGGGCTGAATTCCCAAGTGAGAGCACAGCACACCAGCCCTTCGCTTTGGGCTAAAGGGGCACGCTCCCTCCACAGATGGTGGGCAGGAGCCACACGCACAATCCGTCCCCACTCCACCCGCGACCACTCACCATTCGGATATACGGATTTTCTCCCAGACACGTCTGGCACAGAATAGGGAAGTCCTGGTGGAAACGGGAAATGTGGGTGAGGACGCGGTCCCGAGACCCCCTCGGTCACCATGCTGGGGGCGGGGATGGAGCGCGAGTGGGCATCGCCGGGTCAGGAACCCGAGGGTCGGCACGGGCCGGCCGCGAGAGAGGGCGCAGTCTGCACTTCCGGCAGGCGACCAGGGAAAAGCTCACCAACCGGGAAACGTTGGGGGAGCCGGGCAGGGAACCCTGTGTGAGCCCCCTCCCTCCAGGACACAGGAGAGCCGCCGCCTTCCAGGGCTCCTGCACCGGCCGAGCTAGGCCGCGGCGCTGGCCTCTGCCCGGAACCCCCTGGGCTGGCACAGGGCCCCTGGGGCCCGGGTACTCCGCCGCCCTCACACAGCACACTCACCGCATCCTCCCAGTTCTGCCTGTTGTAGGTGTTGGAACCCAGCGACGTCGCCATCTTGAGCGCGTCCAAAGGCAGCCGTGGCTTCCGACTTGGAAGACAGGACCGCCACAATCCCGTCAGGCCTCGAGGCAGGCGCGGCCCTGACTCACGTCTTATTTATGCGTCCGGTGGCGGGACCCTGCGTGTGACGTCACCCGCGCTCCCGGGGCCGTTGGGTGGTGACGGCGTCGCTCCGGGAGTCCGTCTGACGGAGGAACCGCCCGCACGGCTGGTTTAAAAACTGGGCGGAGCAATTTCGGATGAGTCACGAATGGGATCAAAACAGCGTCAGCTATCAAGGATCGCTTATGACGGCAAACGCTCGCGAACGTCTTAGGGTCCCAGCATCTCATTTAATTCTCACAACCTCTTGGTGAGGCTTGCAAGGTTTAACAAACAGAAGCACGGCACGCCCGGTGAGGTTGAACTGCAGATCAACGAGCCAGTGGGCCAAAGCCGTGGCGTGGTAAGCTAAGCTGCCAGCACCGTCTTTCCTTATGGGCACCAGGTTCGGATCCCAGCTACCACCCTCCGGTCCTGAAGACTGGCTGCTGTTAAGATCTCTTTTTTCGGTCTGTTCTTCTCTGTGTAGCTCTGCCTTACAAATAAAAAAGTGAAAAGAGGGCCCGGTGCGGCGGCCTAGCGGCTAAGTCGCCTTGAACGCCCGGGATCCCATATGGCTGCTGGTTCTAATCCCGGCAGCCCCGCTTCCCATCTAGCTTCCTACTTGTGGCCTGGGAAAGCAGTCAAGGACAGCCCAAAGCCTTGGGACCCTGCACCCACGTGGGAGACCTGGAAGAAGCTCCTGGCTTCGGATCAGCACAGCTCTGGCCGTTGCGGTCACTTGGGGAGTGAATCATTGGACAGGAGAAAGAGATTTCTTTCCCTCCTCCTCTCTGTATATCTGACTTTGCAATAGAAATAAATCAATCTTTTAAAAAAGTGAAAAGAAAAACTGAAGCATTCTCAGGTATAAATGTGTATTAGACACACTAAAATATTATCTGAAATCCATACTTAACCAAACGTCGTTGTATTTAATCTTGCCTACCCTCTAGGAAAGTATAGAGTTTGTTTTTCAAGATTTTATTGGAAAGGTAGATTTAGAGAGACAAATAGATGAGCCAGTCTGAAGCCCAGGAGTTTCTTTTGGGTCTTCCACGTGGGCAGGTGCAGGGTCCCAAGGCTTTGGGCCACTCTACTGCTTTCCTGTACCACAAACAGGAAGCTAGATGGGGAGTGGAGCAAACAGAACACAAACCGACACCCGTATGGGATCCTGGCACCTACAATGTAAGGATTTAGCTACTGAGTCATCATGCCAGGTTGGTGATCTCTTTTCTAGAAAAGGAAAGGAAGGTTTAGAGAGGTGAGGAACCTACCCCTGGCTACAGGATGGACATCATTTGCTGCCTTCCCAGGTGCATTATATGCAGGGAGCTGCAACACGAGACAGGAACTCCAGCCTGTGCTCCCGTGTCGTCTTGACCCGCTGTGCCACGCTGCCAGCCCCTCTAGGCTGGTCTTTGGATGAAGCATAGAAGCAGATGATGGAGTCTGCAGTCTGGTTACAGGAGCTAAACATGGAAAACCCTGTGGGAAAAAGAGTCCAGGAGAAAAGCTGGAAGAGCTCTAAAAGCATGGAGCTCAAGCAGCTGGTCCCCATGCTGACCTGAGGTCTGGCAGAGTTCATGCCCGCTGGCTTCGGCAACTCATAGACTGTGAAAAATGCTGCTTCCCACCAGTCTTCGGAAACCAAAGAGGAGTCGTAAACATACTTCGTCTGCTTTATTTCACTACATTAAGTTAAGCGATAAGGCAAAACAGTAACCTGTCATTCATAAGATAGGGAGAGCCTCTCATTCCCAGAGGGACCCAGCAAGGATTCTAAACAAACAAGGGTGACACAGAGCTCAAGATGCCTAAGAACACTTTAAACAAAATATTGGGTGAATCACAAATCCAGATGAACTTAGCTTTTTCATTTCCCAAACTGTACTTTCAAGAGCTGAAGACCTCTAACTGTTCCATGTGGGACAAGCATCACAAAGCTTGCACCCAATCTAATACAAAAAAAGCAACAAATTCCTAATTCACCAGCTGCAAGTACTGGAACATTTCTACAAACAGAATTTCCAGCCTGCATTAAAACACACCTTGAGGAAACATTAAACCAATGTGTTATTCTCCAAGTTAATCTGACCTCTGCATGGAAAAGTGTTTGTGTGGTGTCACATGGCAATGATGAGATCTGTTACTTAAATATTATTACTTTGGGGATCTATGGTAATGTCCACTGACCATAAAGACACACCATTGAGCTGTGCAGCCTAGCAAACACATGCACCTGGAAAGCTGCTCTCCCCTTGATGCCCATTTCCTCCCCTGGCAAACACCAACCAGTGGTTTCAACGCAGGCTTTAACAGACAGTGATACAAAACTAATTCCACACTATGCAAGTTATACAAAATTCAGCTGTTTCTGTAGCCTGTAAACTTGTAATTACCCACTCCCCTGCCTTGCCTCCTAGGAGGCCAAATGTATTTAGTGTGACTCTAATATTAATTGAGATGAGTGTTTTTTTTTTTCTTACACTGCAGCATGTATATTATTCTGTGGGAATACTGCTTAATAAAGTTGCCTTGACTTTATTAAAGAGTACACTTTAGTGTCTTTGAAAAGCTTCCTAAATACTTTCATCTTTCAAGGGGAGCTGAGAATTATCTTAGTTTCATATTGCAATATGCCTAATTTTAATTTCTTTAAAGAATTAAAAATGAAATCAGGGTAAACCAGAAATTTCCTTTTCCTTGACAGTCTACTGGCAACTGCAGTCTACTTTGTCAAGTCCATTTTAGGAAATATCACAGAAATTAAAGTTAGCAAACCAGCTCCAAGATTCTAAGGGAAAACAGCATCTGCTGTTAGGCTAGGCTTCTGGACTACTTGCTCAACTATCTTATGGTTTACAATCAAAATGCTCTTATTTGACATACTATATGTATGTCATATGATTAAAGTCTGAAACTCACTAGGGAAAAGCTCTCCTAACACCCAGTTTTGGAGTCAAGATACTGTCACTTTCCCCTTCAAATCAACGGAAAGAACGTTAGTTCAGATCATGCTAAAAAAAATTCTATCATTCAAATGTTCCCACAAGCAACTTGTCCATGGAGATTTTTCTCTGGGCTCCTCACGGTTCCAAATTCTCAGAAAAACTTACTGAGTTAAAGAGGCAGAGCGGAGATGGGCCAGGGAGTAAGACAAAGACCCTGGGATTGCACCCATCCTCAGATTGTGTGGTAATATTTAAAATGAATGGAATCTGCTTCCCCTCTGACATGACATGCAATTAGTTGCTTCCCAACTCCATCCCAAAAGTTCTGCATTATACCAAAAAACTGCTAAGTGTTCTGTATTCAGTGAGAAGGCAAATCAAACTGCCTTAAGAATTACATAGGCTTTTCCAATCAGCACTAAAGTGAAGACAAGGTGACAGCATTACATTACTTTTTTGTTAACTGGCACAAGGGGAGCCCCAAGGGCCGGGCACGCTGTAGGTAGTTAGGCCCTGCTAATGGGACACAGGTGGCAGCTGGTATGCTGAGACCAATGCTGGATCACTAACAGGCACTCCACCTTCTGGTTATCTTTCATGTCATTTGCCACTCTGATCCTTAGTGAGATCACATCGACAGAGGACATGGTCAGTTTCCAAGGTGACAAATCTCATGCCACTCTGAGTAACAGCCCGCATAGTGGGATGGAACTATGTTGCTGTTGTTCAACATGCAGGGCTCAGTGGTGGACAGAGACAAGAGGCTTGACAGTCATCTGTGCTCTTAACGCCTGGCCACTGCTCCCATTGTGCTAGGGAAAGGATTGAGTAGTGCACGGGGACGTGGTTATAAACAAGGCCTATGAAGCAGCAGCTTCCACATCTTAGCGTGGGTTAGTGATGTCACTGTCTTAGCTATCTGTCCGCCCCTAGAAATTTTTAAGGAAGAAGTGGGCCCAAGCTGAGTTCCACATGCTGGGTGAGCCAGATGACTTCTGTGCCCTGGTCACTTTCTTCGATGGGACGGATGGGAGCTGCCAGGTTCTTAAAATCATGTTTCATTTTGAAGCATACGGTCACTTCACCTTCCTCACGTTGTGGGGTAACTTTGATGAAAATACCCACTTTGTTGGCCTTTCTGAAGGCTATAATGCTGTGGAAAGAAATAAGCACAGGATTAGTTAGGTCAGAGTCAGCCAGGCAATCAAGTCTCACTTCAGTGGTTGACAGCACAACAGGAACTTGCTGATGATAAGATATGACCATCATCCTGCTTATTAGGAACAGCTTCCCCAGCAATAACACCAATCTCTATTAACATCACAAAAGGAAATATACTTGTAAACAATTCAGGCAGGGAAATCAGGACCTTCCCCTTTTCTTCTTTTCAGCTCATAAAGAAAAATGAAATACTTTTGGTTCTCAACCTACCAAATATTTTTCTAAGGGCCTCTTCTTTTTTTTTTCTTTTTTAAATCAACATAAATGGGACACATGGTTCTGTTGTTTTTCCACTCTCTTTAAAATAAAACCCTTTCCAAATTGGTATATACAGGGCTGCTGCATTCTACTTTAGTGGGTGCACGGCATTCAATCATGTATTTATCCTACTTGGTATACACTGAGGTGCCTGTCAATTTTTCTTTTGTAAACAATGGTGCTACAAATATCTTCTACAAGCCAAAAGGTAAAGAAGTGATTGCAAATATCTTTTTTTTTTTTTGGGGGGGGGGACAAGTACAAGTATCTTACATTTACCTTTGTGCATACATGGCAGTATTTCTGTGCAATATAAGCTGATATTGTGGGAAGTTTTAATAAAGAGAGGAAACTCAAGCCTGTTGGTTCACTCCTCAAAGCCTGCTGTGGTCACGGGGTTAAAGCCAAGAACCAGAACTCATCCAGGTCTTCCACATGGGTGGCAGAAACCAGCCAGCTGGTCATCATCACTGCCTCTCAGAATCTGCATTAGTGAAAAAGCTGGACTCTGCAGTCAGATCTCACACTCAGGGAATCTGATGTGGGGTATGGGTACCCCAACTTACCCTACAATTCTTTATAGAAGTGTTACAGAAGTTCTCTGTTCAAGGTACTGATATAATTCCTGTCTAGAATGGATCCCAAATGATGCATTCTCCAGCCAGGAAGAAATTCCATTTTTTAGTTCTCATTTATTGAGTAGGAGAGAGCAAAACTTTCTATAGGGGTGCAGGTAGAGAACAAATCTAATGATAATCTACAGAGATAGAATATTATGTATCAAATCCCTATCTAGAACCATTAAAAGTTATATGCTTGAAATGATTTGTTACCATGGGAAAATATATTTTTAATTTTTTAAAATTTCTGATGTTGTTTACATAGTTGACAAAGATACATGCCTATGAGGACCACTGGTTAGGGTGAAGAGAATCAAAGCATGGAGAAAGGTGGGTGGGACAAACGCTTCCAATGGGAAAATATTTTTAAAGGTTTATTTTGAAAAGCAGACAGACTGATTAATTGATTTTCCTTTCACAGGTTTATTCCTGAAATTCTTACAACAGCTTGGGCTGGGGCCTCAAGCTGGGAGCCACAAACTTCATCTGGTCTTCCATGTGGGTGACAGAGACTCATGTACCTGAACCACTATCTGCTGTCTCTGGTGCTCATTAGCAGAAAACTGAATGGGAAGTGGAGCAGCAAGAGTTGAAACTGGTACTGATAGTGAGATGCAGGCATCTCAAGGATGGCTGAACATGTATGCCAATACTGTTACCCTAGAAAACATAGTTAAGTAAAAATACAAAAGCTAAAAACACCTCATGTTTAAAGAATGATCCCAGTGGTCAAAGAAATATCTGTATATGCCGAAGCGAGCATCCAAAGAAATACCTGGAAGGACAAGTGTCAAAATTGGGCTTATCCCTGATGCTCAAATTTTTTTTTCTTCATGGTTTTACATATGTTTCACAAATTTTCTAAAAGCATAAAGAAAAGCTACTTTTAAATACCCAGGCCAAAACACTGGGAAATAGAAGTGGGTCAACTGTGATGCACAGGTCATAGAAAGGTCACTCACTCTGGATCATCCTGGAAGTCCTGAGGTTCTGCCAACTCATCATACTCTGCGGCTGCGTCCTTGCCAGCCAGAACAAGCTCTTTGGGAGGCACCACCACCTGAAGAGTAACAGAGAGGCCAAGCTCAGCAGCGTGCGCATGCTGGATGTCGGTTCAAGGGAGCAAAGCCAGGTGTCATCTGGATCTAGGCACATACAAGTAAACAGCTCCACAACACCTGTAGCACTGGACTACACAGAGTTTAGAAACATGTTGTTCAGGAAGACAGACATTCCTAGTTAAAGAATAAGAACATATTTCAGAGAATGTCAAATGAGTGCTTCACTAAGGTTGCAGTGGGGAATTCAATTGGGACATCACTGGGCTTTTCCATTGTTCTGACTTACAAATGCTTAATGTTTTAGTTCTTAAGGAAACGTGGACTACATGTGTTTGATTATTCTGTTTTGGTATATCTGAAATAGTTTTTTTTTTCTTTTAAAGATTTATTTATTTTTATTACAAAGTCAGATATACAGAGAGGAGGAGAAACAGAGAGGAAGATCTTCTGTCCGATGATTCACTCCCCAAGTGAGCGCAATGGCCGGTGCTGTGCCGATCCGGAGCCAGGAGCCAGGAACTTCCTCCAGGTCTCCCACACAGGTGCAGGGTCCCATGGCTTTGGGCCATCCTCTACTGCTTTCCCAGGCCAAAAGCAGGGAGCAGGATGGGAAGTGGAGCTGCCGGGATTAGAACCGGCACCCATATGGGATCCTGGCATGTTCAAGGTGAGGATTTTAGCTGCCGCTAGGCCACGCCACTGGGTCCTATCTGAAATTGTTTATCATATACTTTAAAGTTTACTTATTTACTTCATTTGTTTGAAAGGCAGAGAGAGAAAGAGAACAAGATACCTTCTACCCACTGACTCCCCAAATGCTCCCTAACAGGGATGGGGTTTGGCTAAAACTAGGGATTCAATCCAGGTCTCCCATATGAGTAGAAGGGATCCAACTACTTCGGCCATCACCACTGCCTCCTATAGAGTAAGCAGTAAGCTGGAACTGGGGCAGCAGCAAGTGCTGCTAAAGCACAGCCTCAGACCAGGAGGTATCCTAGGAGGCATCTTAATTACTATACCAAATGCCTGCCTCACTTTATCATATTTTAAGAGAAAAGAACACAAATGAGAAACACTGGTTTTATCATAATATTTTCTGACATGGGGATGTTCGGTACATTTATGGTTACAAAACAGCAAAGCACTCTTCAGGCTTCAACTCTGCTCTGTCAGACATTAACAGATAACAATGTAACACATTTCTAATTAGGGAAACAGATGTGGCAAGAGAGGTACAAACAGAAAGTTACAAATCCAAACGCTCACAACTGGAGCTGTTTATTAGGGTTACTTAAGAAAAGCAGCAGGAAAGTTAAGTGTCATTTCTCTATCAAAGTGTTGTTACTACTTTTTTTTTTTTTAAGATTTATTTATTTTTATTGGAAAGTCAGATTTACAGAGAGGAGGAGAGACAGAGATCTTCCACTCAATGATTCACTTCCCAAGTGGCCACAACAACTAGAGCTGAGCCAAACTGAAGTCAGGAGCCCGGAGCCTCTTCCAGGTCTCCCACACGTGTGCAGAGTCCCAAGGCTCTGGGCCGTCCTCAACTGCTTTCCCAGGCCACAAGTAGGGAGCTGGATGGGAAGTGGAGCTGCCAGGATTTAGAACCAGCGCCCATATAGGATCCTGGTGTGTTCAACCCAAGGACTTTAGCTGCTAGGTTACTGTGACGGGCCCGTTTTTTTTTTTTTTTTTTTTTTTTTTAAGGGAAAACAAAAAAGGCCACAGAATCATTCCCTAACAATTTAGCTGAATGACAACTAAGTAGAGATATAGGCAACCTTCCTACCAGTTTTTGTTATATGGGTCATGCTGAATCATAACTGACCCAGAGAAAATTCTTCTGAGAATTTCAAGTCCTACATGAATTAATGAGTAGAGCAAAATACAGAGAGGCCACAATTCATTCATTCAGATAACACTTGCTGAATGTCAAAATTACCCATTTCAACATTTAATAAGTGCTAAGCATTTTATCTATAAGCAGAGGGAAACTGGAGAAGGCATTATCTTTGGACAAAGCTTCACAGGGGTCTAGAAGAATGAATAGTACACATCATACTGGGAGACTGCTTAGGCAAGTGAGGGCAGTGACCACAGGAGGGAGCACTGTGGGTACGACAGCATGCACAATTCCTCAGCATCAAAGTCTGTAACTCACCAGATTGCATGAATCACAAGCATTAACAGGGGTTACTTTGAAAAGTTCATGGAAAAATGGAAAGAAGTCTTGTGGTGCAAGCATTTTTGAAATCTGTGCATACTTTCCCAACAATTTGCATTTCCACCAACTTTTTAAAGACTTCCTATATGTGTGGTTTGCTAAATTTGAGGATGTTAAAGCAAGGTCATTATGGAGCTGATCTGCTATGTCAGAGACAGGCTATGTGCTGAGCATACCATGCAGAGTCAGATTTCAGCAAGTTCATTCTGGTAGCTGAGTTGAAGGGGAGTGGTTACTGAGAACAGTGAGCGCAGGCAGGAAGTTTCTGCACCGTCCAATTAAGAAATGCCGAGACCTTCACAGAGGGCAGTAGTTGCAGGATGCATTAAAAGAGAGGAGCTAGTCAAAAGAAGTTGCTAACCAGATGTGGAAATCAGAGTGTGGCATCCTTGAGCCAGGTCAAATGAGGCCACCTTAGGCAAGGTCAGACACAGGCAGGATGAGGCAAAACAGTACCTTAGCAGTGCTGTTAATATCATCAGGGTCCCCTTCCTCGCACTCCAACAGAGTCACATGGGTGAGGTTCTCCACTGGATTCGTTAAGGTCAGGAGGACCTGGCTCTCCTGGGAAAAGAAAAGCATCTCAGACACATGCCAAGGTTGTTCCCTAGTTCACATCCTCAGCTGCTGTTCCACAGAGTCCTCCTCCTCCCAGGATTCCTAAGCAATGACACATCTCCACCTCTGCCTCCCTGAAGCCATATAGTGTCTACTAGTATCTGTGTTAGCCTCAATACAATCTGGAGCTGCTACTTCACAGAAGATAGGAGATAGACCCTAGGAAGGGGACAGGTCCTGGGATGTTATCTGAGTGGTAACTTGTCCCACTCAGGCTGCCATATGAGGACTGAAAAGATGGAAGCCCTTGTAAATTAAAATGTGTGAGCTGCAGCCTAGCAAAAAGTATTAACACGCACACACACGACATGCACACACAAACACACAAAAGTGTACCAAAACTTTAAAAACTTGAGACTTCTTGAACCATGATGACTTGCCCTTGTTTGATACTATCTGAAAAGCAGGCAATGAATGAAGAGGGACTGGGATATTAAGACAAAAGCTAAACAAATTGCTGTGGCATGTTCTACAAAGCACAGTGTGGAGGGGCACAGAGGCTGACGCCAGGGAAGAGAGCAGCGTGGTTAAGAAGTCACTGCACACGTGAGAAGGCGGACAATGTCCAGATGGTGGGTGAGAGAGGGCAGACAGTGCCTGCAATCAGACATATCTTTCTTTCCCCCACCTAGGATTCCACATTTACATACTGTGCACTCTGCTTCTACATGCATTTCGGAGATGCTGCTGGCAAGAATATCAGTTTGAAAAGATTTAAAGCCTCAATTCCTTTATTATCTCAAATCATTTTCTATTCCTTGCTCCATGTACCCCATGCCATAAACACACAGTCATTTACATCCACATCTGCACACAGCATTAATAAATCAATTCTTTCCTTTCCTATAGATAACCAAGATACTAACCTTCATGTAGCGAAGGTTGGGGATTGACATGATTCTCACCTCCGGAATATAATTGCTATGTATAAAGAAAAAAAGTATTAATGCGCTGGAGTCTCTTAAAATTATTATTATCATCCTTGTTAGCTAACACAGGAACTTCTTTATGTTAATTGGAACATATCAGAGAAAAAACTTTAAAGATCACATTGTCACTATAGTAAAAGACATGAAACTAAATTGGAAATGAGTTCTGAAATATTTATATGTCTCACTTACAGCCTGCATGTCTGTGTGTACATCACGGCAGGCACATTCCTCATGCAACTATTAGGTATATTTGAGGTCTTACTTAACTCACTTCTGTAACTGTAGAAAGAAGTTAGTTGTAAGACATAAGACTAGTAATACATGCAGGTAAGATGTGTGCATGCACCCATACATAGAGGCAATGCTTTATGCATTTTACATACGTGGATTTTTACTCTTCACCTTCATGACAGATATTTGATGTTAGGAAAAAATACTTGTCACAGACTTGACAAGTGCCACCTTTGCAGCTATCTTCATTCCTAACTTGACATGCAGTGGGTAAGAGTAGTGAGCAAAATGAATATACTTTGTGGTGATTTATAGGCATATGGCACCTGTAAATGTTAGTCCCTTTAATTCTTTCAACAACCCTGTCAGGAGGCATTACACCCACTTCAGAGATGAGAATAAGTGTAGACAGTTACAGAGCTCATACTTAGTTCTCCTTACTCCTTAGCAGACCAGCTTTCTGCTTTCCTAAGAACTCTTCCTAATTGCTGCAAAATACTCTACAGTGTGAGTATGTCTTAATGTTTTATCAGCTCCACACTGAAACACTTTCTGGCTTTTGCCACAAAAATATTACAATACGCATCCCTGCAAATGTTATCTTTATTTGTTGGTACTTTTGCTTCTACAGAATGGACAACCCTGATGGTAGAGTACTGCTAAGTTAAAAGGTTTAAATAATTTGTCTTGGTATTTCCAGGCTACTCTAAAAGACTCCAGCAATTCACATTTCTTACAACAATGTAGGCAAGTATGCGTCAACCACATTCTCCTGAGCACTAGCTGCTGTTTATGCTTTCCCTGTTGAGCTTTACCACTTATCTCTCCTAAGTTTTTTCTTTTTTCTTTTTCTTTCTTTCTTTTTTTTTTTTTTTTTTTTTGAGGCAGATTTACAGAGAGGAGGGACACAGAGAGACCTGCCATCCCCTAGTTTTCTTCCCAAATGGCCACTATGGCCAGAGCTGGGCTGATGCAAAGTTGAGAGCCAGGAGCTTCTTCTGGGCCTCCCAAGGCTTTGGTCCATCCTCCATTGCTTTCTGAGGCTGTAACAAGGGAGCTGGATGGGAAGTGAAGCAGCCAGGACACAAACTGGTGCCCACATGGAATGTCAGTGCTGCATTCAGACTTAGTCTCATGCCACAGAGCCAGCCCCAAGCATCTTTCTCCATCCTTCCTCTTACTATCTGGAATTCCTATGTTACAGACATTCTGTTCAAATCAGATGCCTCACAACCTTCCTCAGCGCCTTCCTCTATTTTTATCCTTCCAATTTGTGGGAATTCTGTATTCCAAGGATATTAAACTTAAACTGATCCTGGGTATCAAAACAAATACTCTTTTTTTTTTCAGATTTATTTATTTTTATTGGAAAGACAGATATACAAAGAGGAGAAGAGACAGAGAGGAAGATCTTCTGTCTGATGATTCAATCACAAGTGGCCGCAATGACCAGAGCCGCACTTTTCCGAAGCCAGGAGCCTGAGCTCTTCCAGGTCTCCCACACAGGTGCAGGGTCCCAATGCCTTGGGCTGTTCTCGACTGCTTTCCCAGGCCATAGGCAGGGAACTGAATGGGAAGCAGGGCCAAAGGGACACAAATCAGTGCGCATAGGGGATCCCAGCGTGTACAAGACGAGGACTTCAGCTGCCATGCTATCAAGCTGGGTCCCACAAATAATCTTTTCTGCCCTTCTGCCTCAGAACTTTGTGGTTATCTTTTAGAGCTTATGTTTCATTTTGCTAAGCCAAAGCAGTTTACTTTTCGGTGGCTTTTGGGGTTCTTGTCTTGCTTAGGTATGGCTCTTTTATTCCAAAGTGTGGGCAATATTTTTCTAACTTTTCAAAATATTTTTGTTTGTCAGATGATTTCTGACACAAAATTCCCTTCCACCGTCAAGCCTGTGTGTCATCACAAACTTAATCACCTTTACCCAATTATTATCAGAAAAAGGTTAAATGAACATTACAACATTACAACATGCCATATTTTGTTATTTTTAAGTCTTTAAAAGATTATTCTGAGGGCCTGACACTGTAGCTTAATGGCTAAAGTCCTTGCCTTGCAAGCACTGGGATCCCTAATGAGTGCCAGTTGCTCCTGATTGCTCTGCTTCCCATCTAGCTTCCTGCTTGCACCCTGGGAAAGCAGTTGAGGACTGCTCAAAATCCTGGGACCCTGCACCCATGTGGTAGACCCAGAAGAAGCTCCTGGCTCCTGGCTTTGGATTGGCTAAGCTCTGGCCATTGCAGCCTCTTGTGAGTGAATCAGCAGATGGAAAATCTTTCTCCCTGTCTATTCTTCTCTCTGTAAATCTGACCTTCCAATAAAAATAAGTAAATATTAAAAAAAAGATTATCCTAAAACTTAGCTACCTTATGATTTGTAATGAATGACAACTATCCACTTAATAATCAACACACCAAACTGCCTGAGAGCACAGTTCAGCACTGTGTCCCTGATACAAACACCCTTACATCTATGTACAGATTGCTCCTAAACTTCACAGTACGTAACTGAAAACAAAAACACCTAAAGAGGAGAACAACAGCACGATAAATAGTAACCCAAATATGAATCCTAAAATACTTACACAGCAACCAATTGGATTTTGAATTTGATAGATGTTGGATTAAATTCTGGCTTGCTCAAATTATGTTCACATTTCTAGAAAGAAAACATAAGAGTTATTAGACAACTATAAGAAGACATTGGCTGACCACAGGGTTGCGCAATTCTGAAGGACAGCAGTGACTGTGATTTCATCTTGTAGTATTCTTCTGCAAGGCTGTGTGTTTCAAAATAGAACAGATGCCAGTGACAGCCAAAATTTATAGATGATGACCAACTTCACAAACAGTACTATACCTGTATGGTGTCTTAAAACTACTGAGAGAACAACACCTACTGAATACTTACTGTACGTGCTGAGCAATTCATTCACCGATTTAAATGGATTTCAGCATCACCCCAACTGTATGAGGTAGGTATTGGTACTTGAACTATTCATGTTCCCATTTTAGATGATTACAATGGGACAAAGAAAGGGTTGAGTAGCTTGCACAACCAGGGAAGCTGAGGTCTGTAGTTCCAGCTCCCTTGCTTTACAACACAGGAGCAGATGTTCTACTGAGTTCTTTATGATTACTACACTTGCTTGTAACTGTTTAACAGTAAAAAAGGGTGTCCAGTGTGGACATGAACTTGTCTGACCGCTTGTTCCTCTCAAGAGCCAGCCTATGCAGATGCAGCTAGCATGTGTACGGAAAAGTGTAAGCACATGTAATTTTTTTCATAACACACACAAAAGGCAGCATTTTATACAATGTTTCACTTTTTTTTTCACTTTATCTAATTTGGAAATAACTCCATTCCAGCACACAGAAGAACCTCTGCTGCACTGTAACAATCTGCAAACTACTAACAGTTAAACATTTCCATTATTTTGCTACTACAAATATAGTAGCAATGAGTACTGACCACTTCCCACATGTGTGAACATATCTGTAGGATCATTTGTCATGAGCAGATCAAGGGATACATGACACCCTTGAACTGCTAATGTTTTGTCAGTCTGATGATTATGAAATGGCATCCTCAAGGCAGTTTCAATGTACATTTCCCTATGAAACAGCTATGAAATCACTGTTAAAGTCTGAGAATGTTTCATATTTATTGGCTGTTGGGATTCCTGTCATGACTCATGTTAATATCTTATTCTTTTTATTTTATATTTTCCTAACTAGTTTGCTAAAGTTTTTTTTGTTTCTTTTCAAAGATTCATTTTATTTTACTTGAAAGCCAGAGTTACCGAGAAACAAAGAGAGAGAGGGTGAGACAGAGAAAGAGAAATCTTGTATGCATTCCCCAAATATTTGCTATGGACAGAGCTGGGCCAGTCAAAAACTGAGAGCCAAGAGCTTCTTCTGGGTCTCCCACATGCGTGCAGCGGCCTGAGGTCTTGGATCATCTTTCTCTGCTCGCTCAGGCCTTAGCAGGGAGTTGGACTGGAAGTGGAGCAGCCAGGACATAAATCTTCTGCCCACATGGGATGATGGCACCACAGGCAGAGGAGGCTTAGCTTGCTATATCATAGCACCGGCCCCATTTCATGTTGTGTTTGAAACAGAATCTACATGAAGTCTACATGCTGTCTGTGGCTGATGTGCCACGCAAGTCTCTTCTAATCTAGAGCTATTTAAAGCATCAGCCACTAGTCACAGGTGGCCTTCAGATACACTAAAATGAAAGGTACTGCACCTCAAATTATTGCATTTTAAGTGTGACCAGTAGTTATGATATTTGACTGTGCAGAGTATTCCATCATCATAGAAAGTACTATTGGGAAATGCTGATCTAAAATGTTTGATTTTTCACTCTGTTTACTTGCAGTTTTACTGTTTACTAAAGGAATGCTGCTTGTTCTGCAGATTCCCATGACTTGTATTTGCTGATGATTTTGGATTACTTTTTATTAGCTTCCTCCTTTTACTTCAAACTAACCTAGAAGATGAATACTCATTATTCTGTTAGTTTTTCACACTGTGTATTTAACCATCAGATCTTTCAGTTTCCACATCTGTAAAGTAGAAGCAACAATACTGAAGCCACCACAGAGCTACAAAAATTGAGTTTATATTGAAGGCATTTACGACCACATTCCAGGCACCTTTTATCTTCTGTATTTACTACCTTAGTCAGATGTCACTCATGCTTACTCTGTTTCGGCTTTTTCTCTAATACAAATGGAAGCTCTGCTGAATAGGCTACTTACCCGGCAGCGCAGGGAGCGCTTGATCAGAAGATGCTTGTGGCGAGGATAGAGCTGTGAAGCACACACTGGCTGGAAGTCCGGCTGTAAGAGGCGCTGCTGAAGGGTGGTCACTAGTGTGAAAGGCAGAAACCAGGCTTAACTCACGGTGGTCCTCAAAATCAGACCTACGTATGGTCAGTAATTGCCTGCAGCAGTACTGCCATTATGAATAGTGATGTGCCAAAAACCACACTGAAGGAAATAAACAGTTCAAAATTCTTCAAAGGATGAAATCTATTTCATCTGTCTTATTTTCTGCCGGTTGCTTCAATTTCTGTTAACAATCCCATTAAAGATCTCAAATCACAATGTATGAAAGTAGCAAAAGCAGAATCAGATGTAGAATAGAAACAAAGCACAGTGATGTGTACAATTACCCTCCGTCAGGTTTACTGGTCTTGTGTAATAGTCTTCGGGCAGAGGTTCTACTTCGTCTACAGCCTGAGCCGGCTCAATCTTGATCTCTTTCTGGTCCTCTCCTTCTTTCAAGCTAAAAAACAAAAAGTGGTGATTTCTCAAGGGCCCACGTGATTATACCAAGTCTATGATATCAGTGGAGATGTTGCTCTGCCACATCTTATCAGTTTAATGTCCACACTTACGAAAGTCCAGCAAGGGTACTGATGGTTGCGCCAGCTCGTGGTCGCTGAAGCCTGGTCCCAAGACCGTATTTATCCTAAACAAAATTTAGAAATTCCAATTAGAAAGTAAAAATTCATGCATCATACATACTTACTTAAAAAAATATTTTGGGTGGGAAAGCATGAGAAGCTCAGGGAGAGAAGCAAAAAAAAAAAAAAAGCTACTTTAAAAGAATAATTTCTAATCCTATCTATTCTATAATGAAAGCACCATACATAGAGATTAAAGCTACATTAACATAGTAAAAGTGAACCAAATGTGAACTTTTACTATCAACCTAAAAATATCTAAGCTATGCCTCAGGAAGTAACTATGCAGCTTGTCTAAGACACACGACCTTGTCTTCTTGGAACACCAGTCATCATCTGCTAACCTCTTCAGGATCAGCAAGAATCATAAAAGGGAACTTACCACTACATGAATAGTGTGTTGCTGTGGAGCCCCAAAATAGCAGCAGGTTGCAACGGAGACAAAATATGCAGCATAAGATAGAAGCAAACTTATAGAGCAGGCAGGTTATATGGGAAAGTTGGCAGAACAAAGCATTTAGTGCAAATTTCTCTCAATAAACAGAAAAGACACAGGTGCACATGCTAATTATAGCCCGCGACCATCGGGGGATGAGGATGCTTGACAAGTGTTAATACATAATAAACTCGAATCCAGGTCTTTTTACATGGGACTTACAATTCCTTTGGCTTTAAAGGCTTAACTAATTCTCATTGGATGCAGTATGGTAAGGCCTCATTTCCTCAAGTGTAAAAGGGAAATACACTATGTATCCTACCTATACAGCTAACATGAGGGTTAGATAAAATACTGTGCGTAAAGTGTTTAGCACAGTGTCTGACACTACACAACCATGCAATAAATGCTACTTATTAAATAAAAAACTTCTAGGCCTCAAGAAAGAATACAGAAAAACTGTTCTGTGAAAGCAAATAAAACTTGAAGTAAGTAACAAAAACTCCACACCCTATCCTTTCACACCTAACTAGCGGTAACTGATAGAAAACAATTTCCACAAATAATTCCTAGCAAAAACTCCACTTTTATATACAAAGTTACTTTTTTTTTTTAAGTCAGATATACAGAGAGACAGAGAAAAGAGATAGAAAGGGAGATCCTGCATTCACTGATTCACTCCCCAAGTGGCTGCAAAAGATGGAGCTGAACCAATCCAAAACCAGGAACCAGGAGCTCTTCTTTGTCTCCTACAAGGGTGCAGGGTCCCAATGCTCTTGGCCATCCTCAACTATTTTCCCAGGCCACAAGTAGGGTGGCCAGGACATAAACCAGCACCCACATGGGATCTCGGCGCGTGCAAGGCGAGGACTTTAGCCACTAGGCTATTGTGCTGGGCCCACAAGGGTACTTTAAAAAGTTTGTGAATAATGGAACTTAAAGGAAAATCTATTTTGGTGAGAAAAGACTTAAAATTCGTGAATATAAGTATCACTATGTATTTAACCACCCAAATATACAATGCCAGTATTTTTCATCTTGGGGAAACATGGAAGGTGTCAAAAAAATTCTAGCTTGAACTGACAAACCACTGCTACTGGGTTATCAAAGGTGGGCTTCCGTGCTAGTGTGAAGAAAGCACAGGATGTGCCCCCTTCCACTGCACACTTTGTGTAATACGTGAAAGCTGGAAGCAGAGTTCTGCAGTGTCAACAGAATTAAACTGCAGCCTTGTAGGGGATAACCAGAAGAGAAAGGGGAGTGATGGAGAACACAACACAAATATTCCTAAAAGAACGCACAGAGCTAACGCCATGGCAAAAGCACAACTGCTGGGCTTCAACACCTGCAACCTAAGAAACTCCTCGTTGCTACCCACCAGTCAGGAATCTAGGACAATAGCCATCTTCTGAAATGGTCACTAGTATCATGCCCCACAGATCTTGCAAATCCTCACCGAAAAAGCCAGAGGCATATAGTTCCTACGTCGTGCAAGTTTCTTGCGATCACGTTCAACCTTCTCTTTCTGAGCAAGCTGCTGGTAATATTCAATCAATTTGTTCATCTGTAAGAAATCAAGGCCTCATATTTGTTTCAAAAGAAGGATAACAAAGAAATATATAATATTAAAAAAAAGAAACGCAGTATTTATCAAACATACTGACTGGATACATAATTAATACAGAAGACAAATTACTAAAGTGCTCTTTTTTTTCCTTCAGATTTCTCTTTTTTTGATCAGTTCTCAGAACTAAAATGAAGCCTTCAAGTTCAACAACAGGAAGACACCACAATGAAAATGCTTGGAAATTTCGTTTGTTTTCCTTCTACCATCTATCTGGCCCCATCACATTTTTAACATTTCCATGATGTCATGGGTCACTAATTGTAAATTGCCATTCAATTTGGATCTGAATGGTAGTACATATTACATTTCTGCAGCAGTGCATTTCTCAAGGGTAAGGACATACGATGTCACACACTGAACAGAGAGCTCCCCAAGAACTGCTACCGGATGCTCAGGTCATGATCCTATAAGCAACTACCACAGAGTCCAAGGACATTTCCTAAATTACTGGTGTTTTGGGGGGCTTAAAATATCTACACATTTATGATTATTCCAAGAATATTTGAGAACAAATAGAAACTTAACTCACTGGTGGGCGGATGAAGATAAAAACAAACACCCCCTTACTGTTTCCTTTTCCTGATGCACAACTCCCATATAGAACTGAACTATACCTAGCTTTCTCCATTAATTTAAGGTAGCTAGGGAAAAAAATGACATTGATTTAATGTGTTACAATGAATAATGTGTAATAGATGCCACAATATTTATAGGGTGAACTTCAAAACACATGCTATAGTCAACGATAAAATGCAGTACCTTCAGTCCTTTACTTCTGATTATTTCATCTCATGCCTGTGCTGCTGTTTACTTACCCGCTGTGTGTGTGGATTTTCAGGTTCCTGCCAACCACCGCTAGCTAGAAAACAGAGACATTAAACAAGACTGATGATTTCATAATTATAGCTCTTAAAAGCAGGTGATTTGAGGCTATAACATCAAATTTCAACATTGAATGACAGAATTTCAAACAAAAAGCCCTAGAAATGATCTACGCCCAAATGCTCAGGATTAATTTTGTAGTATAATAATGGTAACTACCATGTCCACCACCAACACTGCAATATGCATTTGGCAGGTATGACATTTCTCTTCATTTTCATACCAACTCTATGGTAGGGACACTTAATGGTAGTCTCATTTCACAGATGAGGAGACCAAGGCTCTGAGAGGTATTAGCTGAAGCCTGTATTCTCCTATGTCAGATGATGCATGAGTTTGTTAATGGCCTTCCCATGTGTTAGAAAGCTGTCAATTTTATGAAAATCCCAAAATAAGGATTTCAGACTTTTACATTTTTACACTTTAAAGGTTCTCAGAAAATCAGCACACAAAATTTCAGAAAGAAAAATGATAATGGGAGTTAGTGGTGGTACTATACACATAAAGCATAAATAGCAACTCAACATTTTAAACTAAAAAAATTGTTTTTGAACTGATTGTATTGTGTTTCCACATTGATATTAAACATGTAGTAAATATAAACATAAAAATAAAGGAAGCTTCCTGATAAAGCTAAAAGCAATCTGATTTACTGCTCAAATGGTGGAGCAGTAAATAACACCTTACACCTTTAAAGCCAAATGATTTTTCCATTTAGCTGACAAACCCTCCATGTTTGAATAATCCAGGATTCTTGCAAACAGAATCAGTGGGCAGGAGAAAGCACTTTAAAATATTAACAGATATCAATTTATTTTCCAAGAAGGTATTACATAAGTTCATATTCTAGGAGATACTTGAAATAATCAGATTAGAGTGTTTTGCCAAGAACGAAGTTTTAATTTGCATTTCCATGATTATTAATGAAATTAAATACATCTTTCTGTATACTTACTATTTTTATTCCCACCTAAGAGAACTACTGCTCATAACCATTGCCCTTTTTTCTTTCTTTAGAAAGTATTTGCTTTGGGCCAGTTTGTATCCCGGCTGCTCCACTTCCTATCCAGCTCCCTGCTTATGGATTGGAAAAGCAGTGCAGGATGGCCCAAAACCCTGGGCTTCTGCACGCATGTGGAACACCTGGAAGAAGCTCCTGGTTCCTGGCTTCAGATCCATCAACTGCAGCCATTTGGCGAGTGAACCAGCGGATCGAAGACCTTTCTCTGTCTCATCTTCTCTCTGTAAATCTGACCTTCCTTTCCAATAAAAGTAAACCTTTGTTTTTCTTTTATAAAGTATTTGTTTTTTATTTGAAAGGCAGGTAACAGAGACATCATCACTTTTCATTCCCCAAATGTCTGCACTAGCTGGGGCTGGCCCAGGCTGAAGCCGGGAATTCCATCTATGTTGTGCACATGCATGCCATGTGGGCCTCAGTACATGATCACTTGCTGAACCTCAGCTGCATCAGCAGGTAGCTGGATCAGAAGTCAAGGTGAAACTCAATCTCAGGCACTCTAATAAGGAGGCAGGTGACCCAGGCAGTAGCTAAACCCACTGTACCACAACAGTCCCTTCTGCTGTTTCTCTACTATCTTTTTTTTTTTTTTATTGCATTTACAAACATTTCTTAATTTTTGATTTTTCATCTTAAAGTTAGGAGTTATTTGCATTCCAAGTATTTTTTGGTACTTTGTTACTTCTATCTTTTGTTCATGCTGAATTGGATGCAAGGATGTTTATTTATTATTAATTAAAAAAAAAGATTTACTTTTATTGGAAAGGCATATTTACAGAGGGAAGAGATAGAAAAGTCTCCCATCCATTGGCCCACTCTCCAAGTGGCTGTAAAGACTGGAGCGGAGCCTATCTGAAGCCAGGAGCCAAGAGCTTCTTCCAGGTCTTCCAGGTGGTGCAGGGTAGTCCCAAGGCACTGAGCCACCCTCCACTGCTTTTCCAGACCAGAAACAGGGAGCTGGGCAGGAAGTGGAGCAGTTAAGACACAAACTGGCACCCATATGGGATTTAGTCACCAAACCATTGTGCTGGGACCAAGGATGTTTATTTTTGAAAGCCTGTTTTGACCATAACAACAGAAGCTGGTTTACCAATTCCAAGGAAGCTAATCTCACATGAAAAGTCATGGTCCATAAGTGAGGGATTCATTGTAAAACATCCGAATTTAGCTCCTACTGCTCTAACAGCCTAGGGGCAAATATGGGACCACCAAATGCACCAATCCCCCGTGTGAGTTCACTGCACTCACCTACAGATTTGTCTGCCATGCCCACATCTCGAGATGTCCAGCGACAAAATCCACAGGCCAGGTAATAGGCCTTCTTCATGGTGGTCTTGGCTGGGTCATCGGGAAGCTGTGTGGAGATGCTTGTTGCCCGAGTGGAAAGAGTGTGCATACATCCAGGACAGTCAAAGCAGTTGGCACACCTGTGACACGGCAAACACCGCTATTAGTGCCTTCAGTATCTCTCAGGCACCTCCTGTGTACCAGGCAGGCTTCAACGTTAGGAAGTCAAAAAAGAACAAACCCAAAGGGGAACGCCTAAAAATATTCCTGGGAGGGTCTCTTAGCTGCTTCAATATTTCAAAAATAATTACCTATTTTTTCTTAAAAACCAGGCAATTATCACCTAAACTCCTGAACAATCAAGTCTGACTCCATCCTACTCCCCAGAGGCACTGGCTATGAACAAGTGTAATTTACTACTCTGGACTCTTCTCACATTCATACAGATCACAAGATTTCTGAGGGAAACAAAGTGGCCCTGTGTAGTGAGAGAGATGGAGCAATAGTAGGATGGAGCACCAAGAGCCAACGACAAAGAGGCTTTGCGATGGAGGTGGGGAACAATCACTTGACTGCTGGGCCAGAAAGCTAACACATACACCACACAAACAGCATCAGTTCAGGAGCAACACAGTTCCAGGGCTTTTTGTTCTTTCCTGAGATGTTAAAGAAATCATACATTTTTTTTAAATAACATGTATTTACTGTGAATGTTTGAAGATCCTTTATACATGTTTATCTCAGAAGGTTCTGCACCAAAGTAAACTTCCCTTTAATTTCATTTTCTATCACTTCTGTGACATAGTCTCACATTTACTAACGGAATATAAGCACCAACTCAATAATGGAAAAATACATTGTATTAATGTGAGATATTAAAAATAGGGGAGATTGGGGCTGAGCTAAATGGAAACTCCATAAAAATTTCACAATAAATGCTGAAGTCTAAAACTGCTAAAAAATAGAAAACTTATTTTTAAAAAAAGAAATTTCAAATTTCAACTTTGGCAATGATAATACCAAAAATGAAAAATGACCAAAGAAGTAACCAGGCAATCCCATGTGTTTTCTTAAGAAAATGTGAGGCCAGGGCCTGGCACGGTAGCTTAAGCCTCTGCCTTTGGGGGCCATCACCACACACAGATGCTGGTTCATGTGCTGACTGGCATCTCAGTTTCTCCACTTCCTGTCCAGCTCCTTGCTTGTGGCCTGGGAAAGCAGCAGAGGATGGCCCGAAGCCTTGGGACCCTGCACCTTCGTGGGAGACTCAGAAGCAGCTCTGGGCTCCTAGTTTCAGATAGGCTCAGCTATGACTGCTGTGGCCATTTGGGGAGTGAATCAGCAGATGGAAGATCTCTCTGTCCCTTTTCTCTGTGTAACTCTGGCTTTCAAATAAAAATAAAACTTAAAAAGAAAATGGTTAAGGAAAACTGAATCGTGGTCATACCTGTTCTTTTTCAGTTTGGCTTCAGCCGACGGCATATTTTCTAAGCAACTGGGACAATAATGAGAGTCCACCTGGAAGGAAACAAGAAATCAAAACCATCAGAAAGGGCCGGCGACATGGCCTAGTGGCTAAAGTCCTGGCCCTGAATGCACCGGGATTCCATACGGGCGCCAGTTCTAATCCCAGCAGCTCCACTTCCCATCCAGCTCCCTGGCTTGCGGCCTGGAAAAGCAGTTGAGTACAGCCCAGGGCCTTGGGACTCTGCACCCATATAGGAGACCTGGAGGAGGTTCTAGGCTCCTGGCTTCGGATCGGCTTAGCACCAGTCATTGCGGTCACTTGTGGAGTGAACCATCGGACGGAAGATCTTCCTCTCTGCTTTTCCTCCTGTATGTATATATGACTTTCCAATAAAAACAACAAATGTTTAAAAAAGAAAAAAGATTCATTAAAAAACCAACAGTTTTTCTTCTTAAAACTTAATTTAGCTTATAAATTTGTCATATCTACATCAAATGGAAAATTTTAAAAATGTTAGGCTGAGGGAAAAGAGGAAGTATCTCTAATATGGGCTGTTTTCAGCATAGCGTTTACTCTTAAAAAAATCCTATGGATTTACTAAAACCCTTCCGTTCTCCCTTCAGTCAGCATTTCATGTGGGAAAGTGGAGTTCTTTGGTGCCGCAGTAAGGAGACCAGTGGGATGCCTGCCCCCACGTTTGGAGCCTGACTCAAGTGTTGACTCCTCTGCTTCTGATCCAGCTTCCTGCTAACGTGCATCCTCAGAGGCAGCAGAAGCCAGCTCCAGTCTTGGAGCCCCTGCCACCTGCAAGAGTGGATGGCATTCCCACTCCTGATGCTGACCTGGAGATGGGGTGTGAGCCAGCAGATGGAGATTTGAGAATTGGCACCGTGGAGCACCAGCACCCTATTTGGGCATTAGCTGGAATCCTGGCTGCTCCACTTCCAATGCAGCTCCCTGCTTTCATGCCTAGGGAAGCAGCATAAAGCAGTAAGCACTTGGGCCCCTGCACCCATGTGCAAAACTAGGATGAAGCAATGCCAGCAGCTGGGCATGTCCAAAGCCAGAAGCCAAAAGCTTCTTCTGGAATTCACGTGTGGGTACCGGGGCCCAAGTAGTTGGGCCATCCTCTGCTGATTTCCCAGGCATGTTAGCAGGGAGCTTGAGCAACAAAGATTCAAACCAGCATCCGTATGGGATGCTGGCACTGCATGTGGTAGCTTTACTTGCTGTGCCACAGCACCAGCCCCTCAAAAAAAAAAAGATTAAAAGATATATAAGTTTCTAACTGACACTATGGTCAACTATTGTACTACAGTAAATAGATTAATAAAATAACCCAGTATTAAAAAGTATAAATACACTCTTACTTAGTTTAGCTTTATTTAATTATAGTGACTTTGACAGAGGACACTTTAAAGGGGAACAGCAGGTTACAGCAATGTGTGACTGCTGCATCCCACACTGCAGTGCAGCACTGGTTTCAGTCCCAGCCACCCTGTTCCTAATGTAACTTCCTGCCCAAGAAGGCACTACAAGATGCCCTAAGTACCCAAGCGGGCTTTTGGGATGGAGTTCCTGGCTCCTGGCTTCAGCCTGAGCTATCACCAGGTGTTGTAGCCATTTGGGGAGTGAACCAGTGGAAACAAGATCTCTGTCTGTCACTCTGCCTTTCAAATAAACAAATAACTACACAGATATTAACAAAATTCTAATGGCCAAAGTAATACATGTTTGGCTATATCCAACCAGCAGGAGCTTTTTGAATGACAAAGCAACAGGACAGTCTTAAGACATTTAACTGGAAAAGGCAGTTCAAGTGAAATTTACTGTGTTTTTCTAAAAGGTTACTTACTTTCTTTGTGTGGGCAGAGCCTACTTGACAATTATAGATCTTTAGTGACCAACACATGCAGAGGTCCTTATTCGCCCCACCAGCTTTTCATCTCATAAACAGGACCAATATGAAAAAAATGAATAAAGTTGCTGCTCACACCAACTCCAGGAACATGCAATACAGAACTGCTAATTACATCTGCAGACATACCTTACAAGGCAAATACAATTCATTCCCTCTTGTCTACAGTCCAAATTCTGCCTGTGCCTGCATGTGCAGCTCCAGACCCAGATTGTCCATTAGAACTCACTGGACTGTCCAGCCCTTGCTAGTCTCATCCTTCCCAAACTCTAATGGCCTCCACATTACAGGGGCACCCCAGGCTGCCAAAGACATTTTTAGAGACCACAAAGACAGAACTCCCTAATGCATATCTCAGGGGAATTCAAGTAGGGAATCCAGGGAGATTCAAGCAAGGCTGGCAAGAATAAGGACCAACTGAAGGAGAAACGACTTGCCACAGAGCTCTACAACAGAAAGAGCTAAAGGAGAATGCAATAAAAATCACTGCCATAGTTTATATACATGATTTTTAAGAACGATTTAATTGCTCCCTTGATGAAAAGTACCTTCAACAAGCTATTCATAATTCATAAATTATCTTATAGTATAGCATGTGTTTTGGTATGAATTTCAACAGAGAACCAGTAAAATTCCAAGTCAGGCCGTTTAGGTTCAAATCAGGGTCCTCTTTTGCACCCCTAAGTTACTGGGGTGACCTATGACAAACACTGTCTACCTGTAGTTTGTTTTTTTTTTTTTTTAAAGATTTATTTTTATTTTTTTTTTTTTCATTGGAAAGGCGGATATACAGAGAGGAGAGACAGAGAGGAAGATCTTCCATCCAATGATTCACTCCCCAAGTGAGCCGCCGCAACGGTCCGATACTATGCCGATCCGAAGCCAGGAGCCTCTTCCGGGTCTCCCACGCGGGTGCAGGGTCCCAAAGCTTTGGACCGTCCTCGACTGCTTTCCCAGGCCACAGGCAGGGAGCTGGAAGGGAAGCGGGGCTGCCGGGATTAGAACCGGCGCCCATATGGGATCCCGGGCGTGCAAGGCGAGGACTTAACCACTTGCGCCACCGCGCCGGGCCCTGTAGTTTGTTTTTTTAAAAGGTATCCACTTCACTCATGTGCCATATATGTTACATGGTAGCCACCATCCGGGTGTTCCTCAGTAGACCATGAGTTATTCGAAATCAGGGTTTACTTTTTACTTGTGTTTTTTAAACCCCCAAAGCTACAAGTAGCGTCAAGCACTGCAGAAATCAGGGAACCTTGGTGCTTGATGATCCGTTCTTTATGGTCAGGGTCTCGAACTTCCCCAGCAATCCCTTTCCAGCGGTCAGCTGTGCCTGTGAGGGCCAGCACGGCACCCTCAGGAGGGGCGTCTCCCGAGTGCTTGTCACCGAACTCACCCCACCCCAACTCCTTCCCGGCTGCAGGATCTGACAGGGCAAGGCAGTCTGACGAGGGCCGTTTCTGGCCAAAGGGGCAGAACTTCGAGGTCCAGGTGGTCACCATGACAAAGCCTGCGCCCTCGTTCCCGTCCATCTTGGAAAGCCGGCTACCTCGCCCCTCAGGCAGCCTGCCCTAAGCACAACAGATCCTTACCCTCAGCCCACCCAAAGCCCCACCCTACAGGACTCAACCAGGACCCTCCGAAGTCAAGTCTGCCCAATCAGACGCCGCCCTAGAAGGAGATGATCCTCCAGCCCCACCCTGGGCTGCCTTTTCCTTCCAAAAGACAGAGCATAAGCAAATTAAATCGCAGACAAAGTTGAGTGACGGAAAACACAGCCAACCAGCAAGCTACGAAATGCCCACCCGCCTCCAATCAGCGGAACTTCCCCGCCGGTGGCTGTGACTAGTTGAACGCCCCTCCCCCGCCAACACACAGAGTCTCCGCAGGACGACTCCATTACCTCGTGAGACACACATTCCAGCGACCGCAGCTCGCTACAGTAGCGGCAGAAGTAGAGCTGCGAGAGCGGGGCCCGAACCTTCTTTTCCCCTTGGACTAGGTAGAGAACTCGCTCCGACTGCAGCAAGGACGCCATCTTGCAGAAGGAGGAGCCAACGGCCCTCCCGCCGCATCACGTGACCGCGGCGCCAGCGTTCAGCGCTCGCCACCTTCCTTACGTCTTCTACGTAACAGCGTCGTAAGGTCTACGACCCGGAGGAGCTTTACGCAGGTTGACAATGGAAGTGCGCGTGCGCAGCTGGGTTCCGTTCCGCTCCCTTCTCCCTCTCCCCCTCAGCGTTTCGTGAGCGTCCGCTGCAGGGCGCCACGCCGATTCTTTCCTAAATAATTAAGTCCAGACTCGCAGATCAAAGTCCGTCCGGCTCAGGACTCCTGTTTTCTTCTAGGAAGCAGATTGACAGTGTCAACGGCCGACTAGCCGTTTCTTCGGACAGTGACGAAACTTGAGCACGGGCTGTCTTCTTTATAACTTGTTAGATAGTAAGCACTTTGAACAGAGGCCAATTCTCATTCCCTTTCCAGGTTTAAAGCAGTTAAGGATTAGGTTCAAGTGTGCATTGTGTTGATGAATGGAGGGATGAAATCAATGAAACAAGGTTGGCGGGTGACACACATATTTTTCTGAAAAAAAAAAAATTATGTTTGAAGGCAAAGTGAAACACACACAGAGAAAAAGAAAATCTTCCATCCTCTAGGTTTCTCAGAAGGCTGTAACAACCATGTCTGGGCCAGGCTGAAGTCAGGAGCCAGGAACTCCAAACTGGGTCTGGAGATCCGAGTACTTGGGCTATCTTCTACTGCCTTCCCAGACACCTGGCAGGAAGCCGAATTGAAAATGGAGCATCTGGGACTTGAACCAGAACCCCTGTAATTGGATGCTGGCATTTGTGGCTTGACTCTCTGTGCCACGACACCGCCCTTGGTAACCACATTTAATAAATGTTGGCAGTGAGCCCTCAGGAAAACCTGGACCAGTTTATTTTCTTACCATAACATGAGACTTCCTTTTGCTTACTCTTTTGCCAACATGAGATATCACATTTGGGTGAAGACTTTTGACACTTTGTGGGCGTTGATCTTGAAAACTCTGTTTACACCTCTTGTCACCCATAGGATAGGAAGGATAATCCCTGGATTGGTGAAAGAAAAACATCATCATGGCTGTGAATGCACTTTGTAAGCGATGGAGTACTAAACATACCCGATGAAAAAAACCTCAAACTGGTTTTCATTTCAAAGTAGACTCACAAAAACAACTGACGGCATTGGAAGTCACTCAGATGTTGGTCAGATAAGATCTTAAGAAGAAGGAATAAATTTGGGCTCCTGCGTCAAAGGCTTAGGGCCCCTGCACCGGAATTCTGCAGAACAACCCTGAGCATCTCTGGCCATCTGCCAGGCCAGCCTTCTCCTCTTGGGGTTTCCTGCTTGAGAACTTTATTAATCACAGGTTTTCCTGTGTTGAATCTACAGATTCATCCTCATCAGCAGAAGGGCAGGGGGAAAAAAGAGGGTGTTTCATCAGTACCCTTGGGCAGCTCCGCCCAGGACATGTGGCTAAGTGCCAGTGAAGGCTCCTTGCCCAAGTACGGACATGGCAGAACGCCGTAACCTTCACTCTGAGGAATCTTTTCTGTGGAGTGAATGTGCAGTTGTAATTTTGACAGCTCTTATTTCTGCCCATAGATCTATGCTTCCTATTGTAGCTCTACCCTGGCTCTTACCCCCCAAGCAGCTGGGGTCTTTCTGAGGACCCTTTCACTGCAGTGCTATGTCTTGAATAGCTCTCACTTTAACCCTCACTGCCTTAATTCAGAGTTTTGCAGTTTTTCTTCTAGACTTATTGCAGCTTCCCAACTGCTCCCCAATTTGCTTTCCACATTGAGCCTCTGTGGTGTTTCTGGAAGCTTTGGTCTTGATCCTCTTTTGTGGTTGTGTGACTTGTTCCAGTGGTTCCCCATCACCTACACGACAACCTCCATCCCCCCAAAAAAACTCTTGGGTTCATGCCTGGACACACCTGCTGCTTCCGTCTCATCTTTCAGACAGTTCCCACTGTATTCACAACCCATATAACCCTTGCTGATTCACTCAAAAGAATGTGCCTTGTCTTTTTGAATTTTTATTTGAAAGGCAGATACTACAGAGAGCGAGAGCGAGAGCGAGAGAGAGAGAGAGAGAGAGAGAGAGAGAGAGATCTTCCACCCACTAGTTCACTCCAAAAATGGTTACAGCAGCCACAGCAGAGCTGATTCAAAGCTGGGAGCCAAGAGCTTATTCTGGGTCTCCTATGGGTGTGTAGTGACCAAGCACTTGGGTTATCCTTAGCTGCTTTCTCAGGCCTTGAGCAGAGAACTAGATTGAAAATGGAACATCTGGGACATGAGCTGGTGCTCATATGAGATGCTGGTGCTACAGGAGGAGGATCCAATGCCATATGCTGGGTCTTTTTTTATGCCTTTGGGACTCTGAAGTCCCGAAGAAATAGCCTTTTTATTTTTTAATAAGAGTTATTTGTTTTTATTGGAAAGTCATACTTATAGAGTGAAGGAGAGACAGAGAGAAAGATCTTCCTTGTGCTGGTTCACTCTCCAAGAGACCACAATGCTGAAGCTGAGCTGACCCAAAGTTAGAAGCTTCTTCCAGGTCTCTCATGTGAGTACAAGGTTCCAAGGCTTTGAGTCATCCTCCATTGCTTTTCCAGGTCACAAGCAGGGATCTGGAATGAAAGTGGAATAGTCATGATACTAACTGACACCTAAATGGGATCCTGGTGCATGCAAGGTAAGGATTTTAGCCACTAGGCTACCGCACCAGACCCATAAATAACCCTCTTAGCTACTTGCTAGCTCATAGGTAATTTTCTCTGTGAAAGTTTCACTGCTCCTATGAGAAGGCAGTTTGATCCTACCAAAAAAAAAAAAGTTGTCTTTGTTCCTCAGCTATGTCCTGTTAGGGACACTTGTGCACTGCATTGCCTTCATTTTTTTGTTTGTTTTAAAAAAAATATCTTTCTTCTAGAGTAGGCCCTGTAAAGTTCTGGCCCAGAGAAGGTACACAATACATTTTGATCATTTTAATATCTTGGAATACTTTGTATATATACAAATAGCCAAGTTTACTAACACTACCTAACATGTAGTATTCACTAGCCAGCTTACATGAACACAGCTATCTTATAAAACAGGCACTGTAATTATTAACCCAGTTTTATAGGTGAGGAATTGAGATTTATACAAGGTCACACCACTATGAGATAGTAGAGCTAGGATTTGAACCCAGATCCTTTAAGTCCATACCTTAGTCTTTAATAGATCTGCAACCCATGGACAGGGGATCCTTTTCTGTGAATAGTCAGATTTTGACTATTTTGAGCTTTGCAGACCAAGGCAACATCAAGACTGTTATAACAAGAGAGAAAACTGCCAGCTGTTGATGCAGGATGGCCTGGAGGTGGGCACACTGCCCAACTAGAGAGAGGTCAGCCTGAGGGCAAGGCTATGGCAGGAAGCAGGAGGGAAAAATCTAAGCGGAGGAAGCCTGGTCAGTTGAACTCCCACTATCACTGCTTTCTTCCGGAGAGCATAGAAATCACAGAAGTCTCAACTTAGACAGACTTCACTGTCTGATTACTGGCAGTTGCCACCAGTATAATCCTGTATGTGGCCTGGGCAATGACAAGATGTAGATGCTGCCTAGGGGAATAGAAACTGGGAGCGGTGGGAGAAATAGACTCAGGAGGACACCTTGGCCTAAGAGGGTCCCAGCGCCAGCCTCTTCAGTGGTGCTTATGGTCTGCACACAAACAGGGCGCATCTGGAGTTGGCCGAAGGGTTGGAGTTCGGGGATGCTCCCCATAACCTCCTGGAGTAGTAGACTACAGGATTTAACATAGTTAAGTCCCAGGAAGATTCTAGTTCAGTCCCTGTGTTTTCCAAACAGAGAAAATGAGTCCCATATGATCACAAGGAAATGCCCATCCACAGGTTTTCTTACTGCTGACTCAGCTTTCTCTTTCCATAAATGTAGCTTCTTGCTTCATTCCAAAAAGTTGATTCCAATCTACAGCGGAGTAATAAACCAGCTGCTCTTCTAAGAATACCTAAAAAGAAACTAAAGCAGGGCCTGGTGCAATAGACTAGTGGCTAAATCTTTATCTTGTATGCACCAGGATCCCAAATGGGTGCCAGTTCATACTTGTGGCCTGGAAAAGCAGCAGAGTACGACCCAAAACTTTGGACCTACATCTGCATGAGAGACCCAGAAGAAGCTCCTGGCTTCAAATTAGCTCAGCTCTGGCCATTGCAGTCACTTAGGAGCGAGCCAGCAGACAGAAGATCTTTCCCTTTGTCTCTTCTTCTCTCTGTAAATCTGACTTTCCAGTAAAAATAAATAAATCTCTCTCTCTTTTTTTTAAAATAAAGAAACTAAAGCAAATGCATGGGAAAGCCAAACACTCATGGATAGCCTACCCGATTTTTTCCTGGAAGTTTGATGGGTGACCCCACTGCTATTTTGGACACGAGTTTCACATCTCTTGACTTCAACAGGAATTTCCCAAGGGTATCTCAACCCTCACTAAAGCTATCTCCCTTCCTCTGCTCTGCACTGATAGACTCATGTACCCCAGGGACACTTCATCTGTGCTCTGTTGAAGCTGCAGGGACATGGGCCAGCTTCAGGATGCCCAGTGTTAGAATAACTGCTGCAGCTGTTTCCCAACTTGCTGCTGCTCAGTGCTGACCCTGGCGCCTGGAATACCGCTTTCCAAAACACAGTTCTCCCGAGGTCAGGCTAACTCAGGGGCGGGCGTTAGCTCTCAGTGAAATCATGGTATGAGAGAGCCAGGACTGACACCAAAGACAAGTTAGGCTATTCTCATATTTTAAAACAGAATGAAGTTAGAAATAAAGTTAGAGTTTGAACCCAAAGTTTGGCTCCAAGTTTCTTGCTTTTCCTTCACATGGCTAACCCTCTACATAGTTCACCGCCCAACCCGAAGACTGCCAGTGTATGCCTGACTGAGGGACTGAATTGCTGTGTAACAGTGTCTGATACAGAGTACGTACACAGTAAGTCTGTTGAATGAATGAACACTGTCATGAACTTTCTGGAGCTTTCTGGCAGAAAGAAAAAAAAAGCATTTAAAAAAAATTTTTTTTGATTTTCAAGCAATTCCTTACTTTAGAAAAAGTAATAAATGGAAAAAGGGGGAAGACCACGCTTAAACAGGGCGGTCAGGTTACATCTCATGAGAGGGTAAGATTTTCTGAGTGAAGATTGGAGGTAGGGAGAGGGGATATTTGAGGGAAGGCAGAAGATGACCCAAGCCTCTGAGGCCTGAGGAATAATGAGGGGTTCGTGGGGCTATTAAGGAGGGAGCAGGTGGGGGACCTGAAGGATGAGATCTCAGGGGTTTCAGTTCACGTAGGAGCTTTAAGGGACTAGTGAACCATTGCAGGTTTTCAAGTACAGCAGTCATTTTACAATGGGGTGCTCTGGACCCTCCTTTGGGGTCCAGATCCAGGAATCGAAGCAGGGGGTCAGAGTGTGAGGGTCACAGGCTGGCAGACTGGATTCTGGCTTTTTGTTTTTGGTAGGTAATGTAGATGGGATTTTTCTAGTGTCCAACTCTGGGGCCTCCCATACCCAAAGCTGCACCTTTAGAGGCATGCAACACAGAGACCCCAGTTAATCCAAAGCACAGTGTTTTCCTGATTTGGCCAATTCAGTCACTGGAAGCTCATTTCCTCCAAAATTAGGAGCCTATCTGTCCTCCCTGCAGGCAAAACAGAACTGTCCAGAACGGGATGAAGTGAACGTGCTCCATCTCTTGTTTACTTTGGTCCAACTCACAAAGCATGCTGATTACCACACAGGAAAGCATATTTCACAAGAGGCAGAGCAAGAGCCTGTCAGTTGCTAAACACATTAATCATAGCTTCAGCTCCCCGACCCAGACTCAGAGACGTTGATGGCAAGAGCTCAGCCCCTTTCAAATGGTGCCAAGGACTCTGCCAAACAAGCTTTGCCCCTTTCCATAAGGATAAACCAAGCTAAGAAAAGCAAACAGAGCAGAGTATGGCACACCCTCAGTATTACTTTAAGTGTCCATTACTAGGCTCTGAGT